GCATTCAGATCGATAGCATTACTATCAATAGGCTGAGACCAATAGAACTGGACATTGCAGCCAGCATTATATGACTATATGAAGTGATATTTGGCCAAAAAGTCTGTACCAGATTATAAGTGTTGCTAAGTTCTTAGGTGAATGGCAGGAACTGTGAAAACAAAGTCAAATTGTGAGTGAGGTTTAAACCGGATAGGCACCACGAGTGGAGAAAGAGATTGGTGCAGCCCACTGAGTACCAGTGAGCCAGGCAGTAGAAGCAAGTAAAGGGATATTCATTTTTATTTATTTATTATTTATTATTTTTTAAAAGATTTTATTTATTTGAGAGAGAGAGAAATATTTATGTTTCTTGAGTGAAGTCTTTGTACTCAACTCCAGCATTTATTACTTGTAAATAATAAGTATTTGCTTGTGGGGAGGGGCAGAGGGAGAGGGAGAAGCAGACACCCCACTGAGCAGGGAGCCCACTGTCAATGGTCATCACTAAGCAAGGGGTTTCCATTTTTAGAGCGAAGTCTTGCATTTTCTTCAGTCTTCCTCACAGAGCAGGAGCCTCGTCATAGTCCATGTGCAAATGAGAACCCCCCTTTCTCTATGGGGATCAAATCTGGTTTGACCCAGGCTGGGAACTGGACTTCATGTCCTGCACTTTCAGCTTGATCCTTAGATACTTGAACTCAAAGCTTCCTGCAAGATCTTTTCTCCTGATTCAAATCTCTCCTACAAATAGATGCCTGGGGACCCTTGGCAACTCCGTCCCAGTCACCCAAATTTAGGATGGGTTTGGCCAGCATCTGCTCCATGGGATAAGGGGACAGTTGTGACTGATTGATTTTTAAAGGGATTTAACAAATGCAAAATAGACTCTGGAAAAACCTTTCAGAAATGTTGTGTAGACCTGGCATGAATCAGTGATACGTATGTATCTATGATGTATTTGTAGATTCTGGAAAGATAACTCTGAATCCATGCATTTCATGAAATCTTGACCTAAGTCTTAGAATTTAGAATTGGTTGACGCCCTGGAGCTCTAGAAATCTAATAATAACCTGTGTTTTTCTGAGGAGGGAAGACACTAAATATAGGACGCACTTGGGTTTTCCTTGTATAGCTTCAGTTATATTTCTTGAGCGAAGTCTTGGTACTCAAACCCAGCATTTATTACTTTTATGTGAAAAAAGCATGTATATACTGGTATTAAGATAAAGCTTGCTCTATTCTGTTTTATATTACCCTAAATAAAAAGTATGTAAAACCTTAATTTTATGTAATAGCTTAGCACAGTGTTTGGTCACAAAGTAGTAATGTAATATATTTTTCTGGGCAAATGAATAAATAAATGAGTATGTTTTTAGATAATCCAGAATGAAAATCCATAAGTCCTTTAATAATTTAGTATTAGTATTTTAGGTAATTTAGTATTTTAGTAATTTAGTATTAGTAATAGGCATATGACTTCTGTGCTGGGATATAATCAGGTCTTGGGTCGCAGGTGCATTTTTAGAAAGCTTAGAAGATTTTAAACTTAAAATTAAACTTTGATTTTATTTTTTACAGGAAGTCTAACACTTAGATGACATAAGTATCCAAGGAACAGCATCTTTGTTTTTCTCAAGCACGCGGAACAGTGCCCTGTACAGAGTAGGCACTCAGTTAATTTTGATTAGTAAATGAATACCTTCCCCAGTTGCATAAAAACATGATTGCATTGTTTAAAATGAATCCACTATATAAGAATTTTATGCTTACAGCATAGTTAAAATTGTAGAAGTAGGCAGTCTGGTTTTTTACACTTTATAGCCTCAACTTAAAATACAAGTTTTAGATGGTTGAAACCCAAATCAAATCTATTAGCATCTTTTGACTCTCCAGCAAAAAGAGGAGTTAGGGGGGCAAATCCATTGACACTCTAGATATTGAGTTAAGGGACTCTCAGGTGGGATTAAAAGTAACAGGGTATAATACTTTTTGATGGCTGCATAATATTCCATTGTGTGTGTATATATATATATATACCACATCTTCTTTATCCATTCATCTATCGATGAACATCTTGGCTCTTTCCACAGTTTGGCTTTTGTGGACATTGCTGCTATAAACATCGTGGTGCACGTACCCCTTTGGAGGTATTATGCTGAGTGAAATAAGTCAATCAGAGAAAGACATGTATCATATGACCTCACTGATATGAGGAATTCTTAATCTCAGGAAACAAACTGAGGGTTGCTGGAGTGGTGGGGGGTGGGAGGGATGGGGTGGCTGGGTGATAGACATTGGGGAGGGTAAGTGCTATGGTGAGCGCTGTGAAGTGTGCAAGACTGTTGAATCATAGATCTGTACCTCTGAAGCAAATAATACATTATATGTTAAAAAAAAAAAAAAAAAAAAGAAGAAGATAGCAGGAGGGGAAGAATGAAGGGGAGGAAATCGGAGGGGGAGACAAACCATGAGAGACGATGGACTCTGAAAAACAAACTGAGGGTTCTAGAGGGGAGGGGGGTGGGAGGATGGGTTGGCCTGGTGATGGGTATTAAAGAGGGCACGTTCTGCATGGAGCACTGGGTGTTATGCACAAACAATGAATCATGGAACACTACGTCAAAAACTAATGATGTAATGTATGGGGATTAACATAACATAATAAAAAAAATACACCTAACATACCAAACATCAAAAAAATAAATAAATAAAAAGTAACAGGGTAACTTTCAGGAGGCAAGTCCTGAAAGTAGTAGTATTATATCACTAAAACCCTTCTCTCCCATCAGAGAGTTAGGTGGTTCCTTACACATGTGCTACAGGTTTACTATAGAGAAACATGTTTGTTTGTTTGCTTGTTTTGGAGCTACTAATCTCTGATTCTATCCCAGAATAAGAAGAGTGGGAATAATGGTTAGGAGCACTGCCTGAACTTAGGAGCCAGACTGCCTGGGTTCGAATTCATGCTTCCGTCTATGCTAACTGCATGTCTTAATGGCAAGTTTTTAATCTTTCTGCTATAGTTTTCTCATCTGGAAATGATGCTGATTACAGTACTTGTTTCACAGGGGTGTTGTGAGCATTAAGTGTATTAACTTATGTAAGTGTTTGGGGATGTGCCTAGCACATAGAGTGGGCTAAATATTTGCTATTATCATTATTACTACTACTAAAGTAAAATGAAAATGGAATACGTTTGATGGAAATTTATTTCAAAAATCAACTTTGCTAGAAATGCTTCTCTTCCATAAAGCAAGTCTTACTTTTTAAGTCGTTTATATAGATTTATGGTATGCCAATCCTACAACCATTCTGGGGACACTATTTAGTTCCAGACCCTCAGACCATGGACTATATGTCTTTACTTTCACTTAGCTGCCAAGCTTCATGGTAAAGGACACAGCATTCCTGATCACCCAGATTGCTGAATAGTTGGGACCCACGCAGACCAGGAAATTTGGAACTATGTAACATTCACCTGACATAATACATCTACTTTCCCAGATACAGAAATTGCATTCTTCTCATCTGCCTCCTCCTTGATTTTGATTTCTCTACCTACTCTTTCCTTATATGTTTTGTCCCATTTGGCTTTTAAAAATAATTCTCAAGCTTCAAAAATAGGCATTACTTTGCTGTTTCCAAACCGTTTTCACATAATGTTCTCTTATTTGATCTTTAACCGCTCTGCTGGAGAAAGGCAGATAGCAATTTTTGATCAATTGATCTGTCCTTTTTTCTTTTCTTCTCCCCTTAATCCAGTTTAGATTCATAGTCCATCGTTGCAGCAATACTTTTGGCGATATCCCACACTTTTTTGCCACTTTGCTATTTTATCATTCCCTCTTGCAAAACCCTAATCCTGGATGAAACCAGATAGGCACTTTATCTGGATTCACACTGAGCAGCCAAGTCTTGCTGAAGCCAAACTTGCAGACAGTTTGTTTGTGCTATAAATTTGTGACCATTCCTTCAAATGTGCCCTCGGTACAGCCTGGCAGTCCTCTTCTGTTTCTCTGATTAGTTTATTCTCTATTTCCATGACTTTTCCAACACTACCCTTTCTGTTTAATATTCTGATTATACACATGGTCCCCACGTTGGGCATGACCTCACTTCTGCTTTGATGGGGACAACATGAGCCATTGTAATGGAGCCTCCTACGTACTCTGTACCATCCCTGCAAACCTACTGATATCTACAACAATGACATCTTCCTTTCTTTCTGTTATGTGGATAAACCACCCTTCCTCATGACTTAGGCCATGCCTTCCATATACACTTTTGATTTCTTGATACACTGCAATCATCCCTTTTCTCTAGTATATTCAATAGCTTTCTGTCTTATCTGGATTGTTCCCATTGGCTTTTAAACATGCCCATGTTTTCCCCGTTTCAGAAACAAAACAGCCATAACCCAAATAGAACTCCCTCAGTGTACCATCCTTGGCCTGTTCTTGCCCCATTGCAAATGAGATTAATGTACATGAAAATACTCTGTAAATAGCAAAGCTTTGTAGCTATCCAGGAGGCAGGGTTTGATGAAATTAATGTACAAAATACTGTGAGCCATTTTCAGCCTTCTGGCCATCCGCCTCGCCAGCGTGGTAATGGTATGTAGGAAGAAACAGTGGCAAGGAAATACATGCAGTTATCATTAGTGATAAACTAAGAAAAATCTCAAACACAGTCTTGAAAGATGAGCAATCATCATGGACAGTAGAGGCCAGCTTCTTAAGAAGTTCCCGCGGAGCAGTTTAACCTCATGAGATTGCATGGTGCTCCTTTTTGTTTTTAGCCAAATTCTTTTTAAAGACTTTTTATTTATTTTAGGGTGAGGGGGGAGTGTGTGTGCACATGAGTAGGAGGGGCAGAGGAGAGGGAGAGAGAATCTGAAGCTGACTCCGCGCTGAGTGCGAAGTCTGACGCGAGGCTCCATTCCACGATCACAACCCGAGTGGAAACCACAAGTCGGATGCTCCACCGATTGTGCCACCCAGGTGCCTCTCCTTTTTGTTTTAAGTGGCGTAAGTGAGGTAGCCATCGTTTCTGGGAGGAGCTGAGGAAAACCCTGGTGCCATGGGGCTGGCTGTATACACATTGGGAATAACCAGGACAGGCTGGAATGAATAAAACAAGCAGTATTATTACTACAGTCCTATTCGGTCCTGTGCCCCACCCTCCTCCCTGCCCCATGACTCAAGGACAAAGTGCACTCTTGTTAACCCACAGTGGGATTTAGCTGACACTTGTCTGTATTTCTCCAGCATGTACGCAGAATATTTTACAGAGAAGAGGCCCAGCTCACCCTGTTGGTTTTGGTGATTGCTTGTTTGGCAAAATAGGCTGTAGTACAATTTGTGCAGAACTCCAAGAGAGAGAAGATAATCAGCATGGCTGCAATTCCTTTCCCAGAAAGCTGAAATCAGGAAAAAACATACCAAACTGTTGACTAATCAAGAAGTCTTCACACAAGCTTCAAAAAGTTATTGACTCATCAAATGTGCCATTGCTCTTACTCAACTTACTCCGTGATTGTTTCTCTATTATCATCAAATGCTTATTTCCTGGGAATGTGAATTAATTTTGAATTTAAAATGCCAGAAGATTTTCCTTTTCTCCAGCAGACTATTTAGAAACATCAGAAAGGAAGTATATATTTTTTTCTTTTAATGGCTTTCTTGTTTTTATAAAAATGTAACCTACTTATTAAAAGAAATCAAGCTATATAGAAAACAGTTGATTATTCCTAATGTCACTGCCTAGAAATAAGCAAAATTGAAATTTGATGCCTATTATTCTAGATCTGTATGTAGAGGCCAAAAGGCAGATAGAGAAATGGATGCATGGAGAGACAGCAAGAGAGGAAGCAGAACGAGAGAGGGGATGAGAGAACAAGAGAAAGAAACATTGTTCTTGAAGAATGGAATGGTTTTGTACTTACTGTTTTGAAGTAAAAGTATTACTTGATTTTTAAAAGAGTAGAAACAAGTAAATTAAGTCTGCAAAAATTGAAAGTTTAGGGAATCCATGAAGAAGCTGAAGTAATTTTAAACCAACAAGTTTCTATTTTAGACAGTATGAAATAACTGCTATGAAAAATGAGCCAAGTGGCACTCTCATTTGATATTTCTCTCATGTTCCCTCTCTTCACCTCCCAGTTTTTGGTGGTTATGTCATTTTTTCACTTTTTTTGGGGGGTGGTGAACATTAAAAGCTTTATATTCACTTCTGTAACTGTAATTTCTCCAGTTGTTCAGTCTTACAGTCTTAGATGAATATTTAAATGGTTTAGTGCTCTTCACTCATCTCTTTACACAGCTTCTCCCTGCCTTTCTGATCTTAATTTATCTCCTTTATGGTAGAATATTCCTTTTTTTTTTTTTTTTTTAAAGCACCAGTGTGTTGTTGTTTACTGAGAGTATCTTCTTTTTGCTTTTACACTTGTACAAGAATTTTATTGGATGTGTTATTCTTGAGTCACAATTTCTGTTCATCAGAATTTTATGACATTGCTTTATTGTCTTCCCTCATTGAACATTGCTGTGGTGGAGACTGAGCCACACTGATTTTTTTCCAGCTCACAGGTAATTGGGTTTTTCTGCCTGAAACCTTAAAAAATCCTTTGTTGTACCTTCTATCTTATCTTTGTATCTATGTCATCTATCTCAATTATTTTACATCTCTTTCTCCCGGTATAGGTTATTCCCTTTCAGTGTACAAATTCAGTTATTCTCTTATTTGAGGATCTTTTTTTCAGTATTACTGGATACTTTTTTTTTGTACCATTTGTTGGATTCTCTAACACAGGGACACCACTTATTATGTTGGATGAAACTTGCCTGTCTTCCATGTTTATCATCTCTCTAATTATTTAATATATTTGTCATTTTCTTCTGTGAAGACTGTGATTACAGTTTTTCTCTCTACCATTTTTATCTGAGTCCATTCTATTTCTTGCTAGATCTATCTAGTAGAGATATGATTTCTTTACTAGATCTATCACAGTGGTTTGGGGTACTCAGTTGGTTTCTATAATGCTGCAGTGTTCTTTTTTTTCTTCTGTCATTTTATTTTCTTATTAATGATTTTCAATAGTATAAAATGCTCATGAGGAATCTTCTATAGATAATTGGGTAATGTTTCTTCCATATTTTTTTTTAATCTGTACCACTGACATGCTATGGTATAACATGGCTTGACCTGCTTCTTGGAAATTCCTTTTGCTGTCTCTGTGTTAAATTGAAAAACGTATACCTAGGATTGAACTGAATACGAATTCCTGAAACCCAAGTGCTATGTCTGGGTCACGTGGTAATCACAGACTAGAGTCACTGTTTCATAGAACAGGAATTTGAGCTAAAATTTGAGGATGTGGCTTTCCAGATTAGTAAGGAATCTAACCATGAGAATGAGGAAACTCAGTGTATTCCTGATTTATGTGACTCATATCCTCATCAAACCAGGGCACATCTTGTGAGGAAGAGGGAAGGCACATGTGTTTGTGCCATTTTATCATCTGATACGTCTTTTATTCCAATCAGTTGAATTGTATTGTTTACTCAAAATAAATAATAGACATCTGAGTGTCCTGCTGACCCACTAACCCACGGAAATCTTTAGTCTTTTTTCCTTTCATTTCTACCTTTAATCACTCTAATGTATTTGGATAGTTTCCCTACCATTTTTATTTTTTCAATTTTCTTGTTCTTAAAGTGAACAACTGTATATAGGCTTTATGTTTGTTCAGATATGGTATAGGTGAGTTTTCCTTGATTATATTTCTATTTAACTACATCCACTTTGTCTTCCTTGTTTCCAGCTTCAATTTCAGGGCCAGATACTGTTTTATGTTCATTTTACGGAATGCTAACCATGCAGCTGTAGCAGTGAAAGAAATGGCTTAGTTGGCACTGAGCACAATTCTTGCTAGTGAATGTAGACTTTGCTTTCTCTTTCTTTTGAGAAATGTCTATACTCAGACCTGCTCCAAGGTCAGAGGTATATTCTGTTCCTGTGGATTTCTGTTCATTCCTCCACGTTATCAAGGTGCATTGGAATATGTTAATTCTGGTGACATTTCCTACTTTTCTTGAGGTCCTGAGGTGCTACACAAGGGCTTTTACCATTCAGGATTTGCTTTATACATTCTTTTTATTTTTAAAGATTTTATTTATTAGAGAGAGAGTGTACAAGCAGGGGGAGGGGAGAGGGAGAGGGATAAGCAGACTTCCTGCTGAGTGGTGAGCTGGATGTGGAGCTCAATCCTAGGATCCTGAGATCATGACCTGAGCTGAAGTCAGATGCTTAACTGACTGAGCCACCCAGGTACCCCTGCTTTATGCTTTCTTAGAATTGACTGCTCTCCACCTAAGTCTTCTTAGCTCCAGATTGGAGAGCATTAGTGAGACTTGTCTGTATTTTTTGGTGTCCTGCTTTTCTTAGTTTTGTTTCTGGGGAATAAAAGACAGGATCAGGAGCTGTACTTTCCTCTACCACCTCGAGACACAGCAGAATCATTTGGTTTTTTACTTGGATGCCAATTTAAAAGGTAGTTTTTGAGTAATTTTTGTTTTTTGGTTTGCTATTATAGAGGATAAATTTTGTGTTCTTGCTTCTCTCTACCACTCTTACCAAAAAGTTCCCTCATACCAAAAAGTTCCCTCATATTCTTGCCTTCTTATAAGAACTTCCGTACACTTTCTCTGCTCTTGGGGTAATTGTCAGAGTCCATGCTTTGCCTAATATGATAATGAATGGATGATTCTATTTTGAGAACATTCAGAGGCATGTGTTTCATTTTGAAGTTGTTTCATTCTTTGAGTTTCTCTAATAAAAGTGAAATGTCCTTGTTGCGGCCAGTTTCCCCTCATCCCATTCTTACTCTAAAATAAAACTACTCAATAACTTGACTATCTTATTTACATAGAATTTAAAATCTTTGGAAAACTCTATCTTGGTATCTTTAAGTGTTTTCCCCATTGTTCACGTGATTAACAGTGAGACCAATAAAGGATGCCCTTTCTGCCTCAGTCCATCTGTAGAGGTAGCTCTCCTACTTTTTCTGCAGTCCTAGAGATCATATGACCAGGAGTAGGGCTGGAATAGAAAAAGGGATTTTCCACTAGGGCTACTGTACAGTCATAAGAGATAAAAAAATAGACCTGCTGTGTGGGAGTGGAGAGGAGCATGTGGTAGATCATGGGGTACTTACAACTGCCCAGTAGTCTTGATTGGGTAGGCCATTGATGCTTACGTCTATCAGCAGCAGAATCACTCCAATGAAGGCAAAGAAAGCACTGACAATGTTCATTCCTAAGCTGCTTTTGATCTAATGGAGATGACAGGAAAAATAAATCATATATAGGAGAAAAAAATTAAATGAAGTAAGAATCAGCTAAATGTAATGGTTCTTAATCTCTGAAATCTTGAAAAAATTTTTGAAGCTGAAATGACTTTTTTTTCTCTGACTTTCTGAGTTTTCATGAAAACTATTCTGCATGCAGCCTAAATGTAGTGTACTTCTGAAGTCTGTAGAAAAATGTAAATAACGCAAAGCAGAAGCTCATCTATTAGGTTTGCCTAAAAGCCTCACACACAATAACAATTATATTACCTTTTTAAAGTAATAAAACAACAAATAAACCATTAATGAGCATTTTTCTGTGACAGGAGCTGTATTAAATTATTTAAATACAGTATCTCATGAAACTCTTACAACTACCGTATGAGGTAATACTACGTAGCATCCAATTTTATAGGTGGAAAAGCATGTGTGCAAAAGCATCTTTGCTAATAAATTTAGAAATTGACAAAAACCCTGAAGTCTTTCTAGGGACTAGCTAAAAAACCCCAGATTTAGAATGAGGAACTCATTAGGCTTTTGTGGGTACAGGTGTATGGGTAGAGTACAAAACTTTCCTGTTTCTACAAGAAGATTTTGACAGATTCTGTGCTGGGACAAACAACCTCAGTTAGAGGGAAGGATCCATAAATGGTGCAGAGTAAGGGTGTTCTACTTCGTTTTTTGATTACAACAGAAGTGGTTAATTGGGATTAGGCTGATTAGTTTAGTTCAGTTTAGTTTAGCCTAGTCTTTAGTTTCTAGTCTAGTGTTTAGTGTCTAGTTCAGTGTCTGTTCTAGTCTCTAGTCTAGTCTCTGGTGTCTAGGAGAACATGAGCAGCAAGATTCTGTGTTCCCATTTTTCCATTCTTTCCTCTTGTGCTGGATTAAATATCATCTTGAAACCACCTCTGCTTTAGTTGTCACAATTTCTTGGCAAATCATTTTCTCCTGTTTCAAAAGTAGACCAGGAAATTGTAAAAGGTGGAGAGCTGTGACCAAGAGAATTGAAAGACCTGTCTCAGTGATTATTTTTATAAGCTTTTTGTGTACCCAGTTGGTGCTTTTAGTGATGATTTAACACACTGTAAAACAAAAGTCAAATCTGAGTAAAAATAGATATGTGCAAATAAAAAATAAAAATACAAGGCAAGGCAGAACTGAGAAATGGCAAATGAATAATAGAGCCTTTGATAGTGAAATGGCAGGTGGGTATTTCCTGGCTCCTATCTTCTGCTTTGGACTTCCCCTAATGCAGTGTGACCCAGCTGAGCCAGGCAGCTTTTAGGATAAAGCTAAACAACTTTATCTGTACCACTTCTCACTTTTGTGATTGAAGAGTCAGAAGGTGGGGCTCTTCGATTTATGAGTGGCAAATCGTGTGGACCATGCTGGGGCACGCATGTCGTGAAGGCAGTCAATAGAAATATTTTTGGGGGGGCGCCTGGGTGGCTCAGTCATTAAGCGTCTGCCTTTGGCTCAGGTCATGATCCTGGAGTCCCGGGATCGAGTCCCGCATCGGGCTCCCTGCTCAGCAGGGGGTCTGCTTCTCCCTCTGCCCCTCCCCCCACTCATTCTCTCAATCTCTCTCAAATAAATAAAATCTTAAAAAAAAAAAAAGATCGGGACACCTGGGTGGCTCAGTCATTAAGCGTCTGCCTTCGGCTCAGGTCATGATGCCAGTGTCCTGGGATCGAGCCCGGCATCGGGCTCCCTGCTCCACGGGAAGCCTGCTTCTCCCTCTCCCACTCCCCCTGCTTGTGTTCCCTCTCTCACTGTGTCTCTCTCTGTCAAATAAATAAATAAAATCTTTTTTAAAAAAAAAAAGAAAAAAAAGAAATATTTTTGGGAAAAAGTGTTCCCCTTTGCATTTGCTGAATCTGCTTTCTCAATTTTCCTCTCCAAATCAACTAATGAATCTTCAAAAGAGTTTAAAAAGTGGAAACATTCTGACTTACCAGACTAGGAGAAAGTTTCTTGGGCGCCAGTACAGAGAGAGTACCAGTAGTAATGAACTGTAGAAACAGACACATTTATTTATGAAAGATGGGTTCTTCAATTCTGGGAGCTTCTCTCTTTGCAGGAAAGATTGGTCGATTTATGTTCAGCTAGTTTCCCTCTCAAAAATTCCTCTCATGCTTCTCCATTTTTCTGGAGTAACTTTCAGAGATTGTTTGTTTGACTTCTCCATTTGTTTCCTTAGTTTCTCGCATGTAAGGAGCTCATTTTTTTGTGAGCTTACCTGTTCTGATGATCTCTGAGCTCACAGCTCAGTCTCTTGTCATTATCACTTGCATATTTTTAATCATGCTCCCCATCACCTCCTTTTGCCTCTCCACCCAGTGCATGCATTTCCATCTAAAATGTAATCGGGAACTAAAATTTTGGCTTATTGGTTACTTGATCAGAGTAAACTTGAGGGTATGAGTTTAAACTGCAGGTTAAAATGGAGGACAGAAGCTCTCCCTTGTTTATAACCAACCAGAGCTGTTATTTATCAATTTTCCAGCTGATCTGATGCGGGGCTTATCAGAAAATGAGTTGTGCATAGGCTGGGGCCGTCCTTGATAAACTGAGAAGGAGAGGTGTTCTAGCAGTCTACTCACAGAGATGCCACCCCAGAATGGATATCCACTAATAAGAGCAAAGGAAGCAAATCCCAAAACTTGTCCATAAATGACGCTCATGAAACCTAAAATAATTCCGAAGCCAATGTGCATCAATCCAATCATGATCTGGATTGCCTGAAAAAAGAAAACAGGCGTGTTAAAGTTGCTTCTTCATTTACAGGTGCTAAGGAGACATTACTGACATTGCTGCTACTGCATATTTATCGTCTCCTCCGTCAAGAGGCACGAGTGTCCTTTAGGCATTCCTACTGTACAGCAGAGGTGGGCCAGGAAGATTCTGGCATATGCTGGAGCCAGGCCCACAGCATAGGCCTTGTTTGAGGTATCTGGGCTGGCTTGTAAGGGTGGCCCAAGGAGAGTTCTTTAGAAGCTGCTCCTTGTTAAGCATGCATTGGTGTCCCCTGAGAGCCTCTAAAAGACTCTGAAAAAAATGCTTTAACTGTGACTTCGATGCTGTTTCAGATGGACCTATTCTCTGCATGGCAGATCCCAGTTATGGGGAAAGTATCCATGAAGGAAGTACCAATGAATTTTGGGGGCATTAACTACATATTTGATAATATTCTAAACACTTCACTTTTATTGTTTCATGTAATCTTCCCAGCGACTGGATGGAGATGCAGAGATGTCTGTTTCAGTCTTCTCAGGCTGCTATAAGAAAATACTGTGCTACCCTCCAGGTAGCTTATAAACAACAGAAATGTATTGCTCACAGTTCTGGAGGCTGGGATGTTGCAAGTTCATGAAGGTTGCTTCTAGTGAGGGCCCTCTCCCTGGTTCCTAACGGTGCTTCCTCATTGTGTCCTCATGTAGTGGAAAAGGCTCAGGATCTCTGAGGAACCTCTTTCATAAGCCCATTCATGGGGGCTCCGCCTTCATGAACTAATAAGTACCTCCTAAAGGCCCACGTCCTAATACTATCATTGTTAGGGTTAGGATTTCAACATAGGAGTTTTGGGAGGTCATTCAGACCATAGCAATGTCTAAACAATTACTGAGCGGCAGATCTGGAAAGTTAATACAGCAAATTTATTCCAGCACCCATGTCTTTTAGCTATTGAATATGGCCTCCCCTCAGGCTCAGCTCCAGCTCTTCTGTGAAGTTATCTTGATTATATTAGTCAATTTAAGCTTTTTTCTTCCTAAATTTCTGTTTTATCTGTAAATTATACATCTTATTACTTGGTTTTGTACTCATTTATATTGTTATTTTTTTTAATTGCAGGTATGCAAACATTTTCTTATTGGCCAAGGCATATTCTCAAAGACAGAGGATACATCTTTGTACCTCTTAGAACACCTTCTTTCATCCTGAATAAACAGATTTGTGAGAAGTAAGTGCTTGTACTTTGGGCCAGAAGCTAACCGTAGATTTACCATTTGTTTCTTCCTAAACTTACATCTTATCTGTCCAAGAAGACTGCAAATACAAAGATTGCTGTGTTTATTTCTTCAATAACTTGCTATTAAATACAGTTAAGTTATTAAGCCAAAACAGAATTGGAAAAAATCACAGCTTCCTAAATAATACTAAGAGATTAATATTTTCTTTGAGTACTCAATGAATTTCTTTGAGAGTAATAAAAACTATGAATCTTCTCCTTGAAAATCTGGTCTTACACATCCATACATACACACACCACACTTTTGCACATGACTTCAGAGGTGTCATGGGCTAAAGCCAGTCATGGATCTCAGTTGAAGGACTCCTGCATTAGGCATTATAATTGGTTTTTACAAGCTCTTCCTTAGAGCGGCAATTCAGTCATCTGGCCACAAACTTCTTATTCTCATCCTTGCCGTCATCTTGATGGCAGTTAGATATTGGATTAATATTGGCTTACTTTTCTTCCGGTATAACGATGGCTCTACCATTTACTGACCAAGCTTGCCTACGGGCCAGACGGTAATTTAGCCGTTTAACTCACTCTGGAGTTTTGGCCACAGAACCACTTTGAGTTCTGAGTCAACTGGGGCAGATGCTCCCTGTCCTACCCCATGAGGCCCCTGCATTGTTATGACTGGGAGCTACTAATAGCATAAGTGTACAATCTTGAGGGAGAAGAAGTAGCTTCTGCCAGCTGGGGCTTTTAAAAACAAAACAGCATCAATCACTTTAAAGTGCTTTTCTTGAGTACCTCTTTGTTCCCAGGCAGAATGCTCCAGGGTTTCCCCACTCCACTCAGAGTTCAAAACAGAGCCTCTGTCCTCCAGGCCTCACAGGGTCTGGCCCCCACCCCTCCTCTGCCCTCCTTGAGGCGACAACCTCCCTCCATCATACTGTTCTACTTTACTGGCCTCCTCCCTGTTCTTCAAACACAGCACACGTTTTCCTCTAGAGACCTTTCCAACTTCACCTGGAAGCTCTTGCCCAGATGACTGTGTGGCTTGCTCCTCCCCTCATGTCTTTGCTCAAATGTCATCTTCTAAGGAAAGCCTACTCTGATCAACTTGAAATGGCTACCCATACCCTTCACTGCCTGGTACTAATTATTAGCCGTTTTACACTTCTTTATTCTGTCCAAATCATGTATCACCTTCTAACACATCATGTACTTTAGTGCTTTTTTTTTTTTTTAAAGATTTTATTTATTTATTTGAGAGAGAGAAAGCACGAGAGGGGGGAGGGTCAGAGGGAGAAGCAGACTCCTCGCCGAGCAGGGAGCCCTATGCGGGACTCGATCCCAGGACTCCAGGATCATGACCTGAGCCAAAGGCAGTCGCTTAACCAACTGAGCCACCCAGGCGCCCACTTTAGTGCTTTTTTATGTGTGTAATCTGAGCTCTGTGATTCTAGTCTACGTGAGGGCAGAGGTGGTGCCTGTTTTGTTCTCTGTAGTCTTCCCAGCACCTGTGTGGGGTCGGCTTTGTGGGATGCCAGTTTGTCCCTTTGCTCAGTGGGAGCAGGGAATTTCCTTTCTCTGCCAGGAGGAGGATCTGAGGGGCCACCCCCACAGCCTCCATCTGCCTGCTAGAGGGGGCAATGCTTATTTTTACTTTTCTAAAGTAGTGAAACTTGAACTCGGTAGTAAGATGGCTGGACGAGTTTCTGGTACATAGTGGGCACTCAGTATAACTTACTGAATGCTCTAGCAGAGAAGTGAGAACTGCACACAGGGAGAGACAGTACTGTGTCGTGGAATGGTAGTGGCATGAATGAGGAACCTGGAAAGCAAAAACTAACAATTCTGTCTCTGCAGGTGGGTCTTCATCTACAAGTAGGGCATGTCTTACAGTGCTTACATAAACAAGATTATGAGTGTTTAAAGTGCCCTTTGTAGAAGTAACATGGCAGTTAAGTCATAACATCTGCACAGGCCCTGGGTGAAAGGCACAGCAGATGGACTGGCCAGGAATTCTTCCACACCCAGTTTCCCCAGACTGCCCACTTATAGTTGTTTCTGTTTTTAAGGCAGCTGTCATGTTCATTTTAATGAGAATTCACCTATATACAAATACCAGGCTTGCACTACTGAGACGGGATTGAGGGTGCCCAAAGTGTCCTTTGCAGAAGTGAGAGCAAGCTAGAAGTAGTGGTGTTCCCATAATGTCAGCGTTACTGATTCATCCTGCTAGGAAGAGTCCTTTGTCACCTGTTAGGGTCTTTCTTGAATCTAAAATAAAGTGAACTCAGGGTAAAGTGTATATGCAGATGAATTATTTCTGCCTTCAAGGGACACAGTTTCCAGAGTAACATTCAGAACTTTTTAATGATTGAATGTAGGTCATGAGATCATAAACTTCTCTCCACCTATAACTTATAAGTACAGTATAACCTTGCAAAGGCAAAATTAAAATTCTCATAGTAAGTAGACTTACCCCTAATATCTTTGCTTCTTCTGTGAAGTTTATGGTTGCTGTTCCTGTAGCTGGGATTACCACCTGTGGGTATCCCTGGTCTTGCTGACTGTTGGTGATGATTCTTGGAGACCCGAAGAGGGGAGGCTGACCACCCTGAGCTTGGTTTTCCGGGTGTATGAAACCCATGGTTTGTTGAGACCTGGGAGCCTTGACGTTGTTTGGTGGATAAGGACTGAGCATGGTTTCATACATTCGGGGCTGGGTTGTTGGCTGGGATGACATCATTATGTCCTAAGTACTACAAAAGATAACAAACTGATCACTTTACCCCACACAAAAAAAAAGACGTCAAATTTCTATGTAAATACTATAAAGCAAGTGAGCAAATAATGGGCAATGACAACCAATGTAAACATGATCCTCATTTGACTTTGGAATCTATACACCCTATAGTTCAAAGGAAGTGAAGGAGGGGAAGATAGGAGTAATTTTATTTTCCAATTCCCATTTGATTTTGTAAAGTATTTGTATGTATTAACCTTCCTTGAGTTCATGGCATCTGAAGGACAACAGAGGAAGGGAAGAGATGGTGGTAGGCAGAATAATGCACCTTCCCTTCCCCAGAAATGTCCACATTCTAATCGAGGAAGCCATGAGTGTGTTGGGTTACATGACAAAGGGGATTTAAAGTTGCAAATGGAATTAGGGTTGACAGTCAGCTGACCTTAAAACAGGGAGATTTCCTGGGTTATTTGGGTGGGCCTAGTGTAATCACAAGGGTCCTTAAAATTAGAAGAAGGAGGTAGAAGAGAGTTAGAGAGATGTGGTGGTGGAAGCAGGGTCAGAGAGATGCTGTGCTGCTAGCTTTGAAGATGGAGGAAGGGCCTGGGAGCCAAGGACTAGGGTGGCCTCTAGAAGCCAGAAAAAAGCCAGGAAAATAAACTTCTTCCTAGAGCCCCTGGAAAGGAATGCATCTCTGCCAACACTGTGATCTTAGCTCAGTGAAACCGGTGGCCTACAGAACTATCATAATGAATTTGTATTGTTTTAAGCTGCTAAATTTGTGGTAATTTGTTACAGCAGTAAATAGAAAACTAATTAATGGCGCCAAGAATACAATTGGACAGCAAGAAAGGCAGTCCATGATTTAAAATTATTTGTCACTACTTTTCCAAATAGATAATTCATATATGGCCAATTAAATTGTCATGTTCTTTAGGAAGAATACTCTTGAGATTCCCTATTCATTTTTGTCCTTTGGAAGCACAGAGTATCTCAGGTCCTTTGTGGCCAAGGGGAATTTTGTTGGAAATCAACTAGCACAACTAGATATGGACAGCAGTCACTATTTATCCTTGAAAAAAAATTATGACACTTAAAAATGTCTAGTGTCCGGGCGCCTGGGTGGCTCAGTTGGTTAAGCGACTGCCTTCGGCTCAGGTCATGATCCTGGAGTCCCGGGATCGAGTCCCGCATCGGGCTCCCTGCTC